CAGCCACTGGGCGTTTGCCCTGCCTCATCGTTGTTATTCTTTCACGGGCTTTGCGATCAGCCAGGGGGTCTTCAAATCGTCTTCTCAAAGAGGACATGAAACGGTTGAAGTTACTGAGTTCTGGGGCATTGGAGTCATGCAAGTTCACTACCCAATCCGCAGCTGGTCCATCCAGGGCAGATTGCACGATCCGGATGCGGGCTTTGTCGCTGGGAATATCCTGCCCATATTCCTCCATGTAGCTGAGGACTTGGGTTAGGAAAAACCCCAAGCGTGTTGGCTCCCCTTTGAATTTCACTTCCAACGGTGGACGTCTTGGAATGGATCGGTGCCTCTGTTGTGGGTGGTAGTGCCTTCCGTCCAGATTGCCATCTGTGGTCCGGTAGGGGGTGGGAGCTCCTGGATCAGTAGATGTCCCTGGGGTTGCAGGTTCCATGTCCCCCTCGGTGTCTCTCCCTTTGCGGCTCCAGGAACTGGGGCGGCCGTAGGGTTCAGTATTCTCCTCTCCTAGGGAGCTGAGAGTTCTCTTCATCAGGTCAATAGCTTTCTCTAGGATCCAGTCTGAGTACGGTGCCCAGCTTCCTCCACTTGCGTGCAGGGATTTCTCCATCTCCTGCTTCCATTCTGGTTGCTTGGTCCCCCGTCTCAGGGTCACCTTTCTTGATTCCTTTCCCCACTCACTTTTCTTTCCAACGCCCATCGACCAGCGAGGCTTGTGGTCCTGTGTCTCCACCACTTCTTCTCCTGAGGAATCTGGCCTCTCGGATCCCAACATCTGGCAAGGTTCCAACTGGGTCAGCGGCTCTCTTTCCAGGGAGTTTTCCCCCTCTCTTGCTCCATTGTCTGACATGGTAAATTTTTGCAAAATCCCCCGGCAAGGGTCTTCCTTCCAGGTGGATTAATTTTGCAAGTCCTGTCTAATGTAAGGACCCACCCCACTTTGCATCTTAAGAAGACAGAACTCTTGGAATAATTCTTCCAACAGGAATCCTTTATTAAGAGAAAATGGTTGTAGGCATGCTAGACAGGACTTGGGGTCCAAGCTCTCCCATTCAAGGTTTTAAGGGGTTCCCCAGTAGTCCCACCCAATCAACCCCCCTTCCAGTGATAGTTTCAAGTATCACAATTCCACTCCCTTTCTTCTTTCTTCCGTCTGGATGGAGACTTCAGATAACTACATGAAAGGCAACTTCCCTCCTTTGGTATGTTAACGCTTCGAGGTTACAATAAACACACATTCAGCATTCAGCTCTTTGAAGTGTAAAGAAGGAAGTGAGGGCCATAAAGCCCCTTTGTTCTCCCCCTTCTCTCCCTCTTATGGCAGAATCCAGAGAAGGCAGAATTGGGAGTTTCTATATTTGATAATTTAAAGATGAAATATAATTGGATTCTGACATCTGTTGGTGCCACAGCCACGAGGTGAGGCAGGTGTCAGGAAAAAAATAAGACATCCCCAGAAAATAAGACCTACTGCTTCTTTCGGAGGCAAAAAAACTATAAGACCTGGTCTTATTTTCAGAAAAACATGGTAGGAAAGAAAGTCCCTTGACTCCATTTGGTTGAAGTGATAGGTTCTTTTACTAAGGATTACTGGTTGCAGGTAAAGCAGGAAAGAACTAAGGCTTCCTGTGTAAAGTTACATGCTTTTCTCTTTCATGATCCCCCTCCCTTTGGCCAGATCGTCAGTGTCCAATAGCATCCCTGTGTGATGTTTTGGGAACTGCTTTGATGTCAGGTGCATATTGAAATGGCTTCACATTCTTTCCCAAGCCAGGCATCCTTGAGCAACTGGATTAGTCCTGTTTTCACATGTCTAGTTTCTGTCAGTGCCAATCCCTCCCCCCATTGCCTCCTTCCACTTCCTCTTGCACCTCTTCCTCAAATGGCTGTGCCCCCTCCCCGTTTATGGTGGAGCGCAGCAAAGATGGCAGAGCTGACATTCTGCCCTCCTTGACAGGGACATTAGTCCTGGAAGACAAAAAGGGACAGACAGAGAAACAAAGAGATACAAAGAGAAGACAATTAATATGCCATTATTATGGTTTATCTGGGTATTTTTGTGAAATGTTTGGAGAAGCTTTGGGGCCTTGACATGCCATCTGTCTACCCACTCTTTCTAAGAAGGGGAAAGTGCTTCCAAGTGACTAGATATTGGACTTTCCCTCTATGTTTATGGGAATCCAAAATTTCCTTAACTTTGAAGTGTAGTTTGCCTTTGATTAGGATGGGGACGAGTGGTGGTTTTATTGTTGAGGGTAGCAGGAATGTACAGTAGATTCTGGCTTGAGCAGGCTGCAATGAAATTCTGTGTGGATTTATCTAAGGTTCTTGGGAAGGTCCAACTGGATTGTGACTGGTTGATAATTTTGCTAATAGAAAAAGACCCGATGTATTTGGGACCTAATTTTTTCAATTGCTGTGTGGATTGTAGTTATTTGGTTGATATTTATTTGTCTATAAATATCTGAAGTTCCTAGGTTCTCTAGGAATCATGGAATACAGTTTGGGTTTGGGTAACCTGGCCCTCGGTAAAATTTCTATAGAACAATCTGTGGAGCGATGAGGTGGGAGTGGGTCCGAGCCTTTTTCACTAAAAATGTCCTGTAAATCCCCGTACTCCTTAGGTTTCCGGGAATCACTTTGGGGCCAGTCCTGCATCACAGCTCCCACCTCCCTTTTCAGCTCCACTCTCAGGTTTAGGACTAGGGATATTAAGTCTCTCTTCGATTTTTCCTCAGGGCTCTTTTGCCAGATCTTTAACATCCTCCTCCTCCAATTTATGTATGGGTTATACTTCAGCAGCCACACCAAGCCTAGCACAAGGGGTCTCTCCATGCCTGGTGCCACAATGAAGCTCAGAATTTCTGTGTGGGCTCCCATCCTCATCTCTATTGGTTTGGTGACAAACATTGCAGCTCCCCTCCCCCCACTGATTTGTCTAACTGGGAAAAAGGTACAGGCATTTTAAGCTTTCTGAGTCTTAGAACTAGTTTCTCAACTAGGGCAGGTGGACTAGGCATCTGGTGCAACCTGAGTCCAGGAGGGATACCAGGCTTCCCTTGCACCTTGAGACAGCACCACCAATTTATGGGAATAGTTACTGAAATCATGGGCCCACTTACCAAGGGGTCGTCATCTGAGTCGGTATTGCTCTCCACTGGTACTCCCACTGGATGGTTGGAATTCTGACTCCATCTTTGGGTGATGGCGTGAACTCAACAACCTCCACCTTCTCCAGGGCTATCTCTCTGGTTCTTGGCGCCAGCTTTGTTGACTTCTTGGCCAGCCCCAAGGTTGCCTTTTGGGCTGGATGCATAGCTTGGCAGTCAATGGCTCATTGCCCTTCCTTTCCACACTTGAAGTAGCCAGTGGAACATTGGCGTGGGCATTGCTTACAGGCCAGTGGTTTGGGGGCTTCCTTCTTTTCCAGGAGGAATCTCCACCATCCATGACTGGGTTGGTTTCGTGAGCAAACCAAGTCAATCTCAACTTCTTCAGCCAGGATATACCAGCCATGGAGGATGTGCGGGATCCCTCTAGAGATGCAGGTTTGTAGACATTGTTATTCAGCCCATCCTGGAAGCACTCAATTAGCATGTCGTTCAGCCAATCAGTCAATCTGCAGGCCAGGTCACAAAATTCTTGGGTATATGTGGTCACAGGTTGGCGGTGCTGGCTTATAGTCTTGATCCTCTTCCTGGCTTTACAATCAGCCAGGTGGTTTTCTGCTGTCATGAAATGATCAAAGTGTCCCAGCTCAGGGGCGTCATCATTACAGAGGGTAACCATCCACTCCGCTGCAGTCTCCTACAATGGCATCATGCACCATACCCTGGCCCCTTCAGTTGTTATGTCTGGCTCATACTTTTACATATAGGTCCAGACTTAGGCCAGGAAAAATCCCAGTTGTTTGAAGTCACCATTGGACTTCACCCAAGGGCCAGTAGTCTGCAGCTTCTCGATAGGGCAGCCCAAGCTGGTAGCACTGGGTGGGCTGCTGGGGCCACTGCTGATTGCATACTGGTGCCGCAGAGCAGGCACTGCCATGGCCGCAGCAGTGGTGTAGCCACACCATCCCCAGCTGGGGTCTGTGTTGGTTGGGTGGCTGGCAGCGCCACTCAAGCCAAGGCTTCATGTGCCTTGAAGTTGTTGAAAGCCGCCCTCAAGAACTCTATGACTTGCTCCAGCATCAGGTCTTCACGATCCACTTCCCCCAGGGTTGCCTGGTCCTCAACTTCCACATGCAGCTCCTTTCAGCAGCCCCCTCAGCCCTCATGGGTGAAAGTCATCCCAGAGTGCTTTTCTTCCCACTCTTCCTTCTTCCTGAACCCCAGTGACCATCAGGATCTTGGCTGATCATTGCAGGCTTCTGCTTCTCCCAGCTATTCAGGGAGGTCCACTCCACCATGGGATCTTGCCAATGCTTCTCCTCAAGCCTTGACCTCCTCCTGGTCACTCCCATGAGTTGACATGGTATGCACAGTCCCCATGGTGGAAGCGTCTCTCTGGGTTGACCACTATTGCAGTTCTAGCCTAATGTCAGACCTGCCCCAGCCAGGTCCCTAGGAAAGAAAGACCCATGACTCCATTTGGTTGAGGTGAGAGGTTCTTTTATTAAGGATTACTGGTTGCAGTTAAAACAGGATAGAACTAAGGCTTCCCGTGCAAAGTTAGACATTTTTCCCTTTTGTGATCCCCCCTTCCCTTGGCCAGATCATCAGAATCAAATAGCATTCCTGTGTGATTTTTGGGAACTACTTTGATGTCAGGCGCATCTTGAAATGGCTTTGCATTCTTTCCCAGGCTAGGTATCCTTGGGCAACTGGATTAATCCAGTTTTCACATGTCTGGTTTCTATTAGTGCCAATCCCTCCCCCCTTTGCCTCCTCCTACTTCCTCCTGTGCTTCTTCCCCAAATGGCTGTCCCCCCCCCATTTATGGCAAGATGCCAACAGCTTAGTAGAGCAGAGCAAAGGTGGCAGAACTAACACTAGTATTTCCTGAGGAAGACATAAGCACCTCAGATACATTTCAAGTTTACAATTAATGAATTCCTCTTTGGAAATAAAGGGTTAAAGAACTAGCATCTTCTCAAGAGACCTTGTATTTTCTCCTCCCTCTTTCTAAACTGTGAAAAGCAAAGATGGAGAGTGATAAGCTTCAAAATCAGCAGGTGTGAGGCAAAGAGAGAAACTGCAGCTGTAGGTAGATTTTTGGTCTAGTAGCTCATGATAACCAGAAACCAAGCCCATAGAAGGTACAGGGGCTACAGGGACATATTTCTTGATTGAAAATCTCCTAAAGGTAAGAACCTTTTGAGAGTGGAGTAATAGTTTCACGGGATACACTGAACTGAATGCAAAGTGTTTTGGTCTGGATACAAATTTTTGAGAGGTTGGTGGTCAGTTTAAGAAAAAAAAGGGGGCTGAGAAGCTCCGGTTTTATGACAGAAATATGCAAATAAATAAAAATCCAACTGGTGATATGTTATACTCTGTCAGGATTAATAGTGCCCAAATTGCATGAAAATAATGGCTCAAGCTATTCAAGTTGTCTAATTTTACAACTTATGCCCTTAAAGCTAAAATGGTCTGAATAGTGTCCCACTGGAGGTCACTCTAAAAGATGAAATCTCATCAGAAACTGGATAATTTCTTGCCTGTCCTACACCCAGAGATAACTATAAAATTGAACAGAAATGATGATAAAATGCTTCTGGGATAGTTTATTGAATGTTAAATTTCTTATAATTTCTAATTACCTATGAATACAATGGGACTTTGCAAAGTATTGCATCATTGTCAAGCTCTTATAAAGCCCATGAGGCCATCTCTGTATCTGCCACATAAGTGTTATAATGGTTAAAAAATCCAAAATAATGTATTGCATATATAATATTTCAAGGACACCTATAGAGACACCAGCCCATAGCAATACATTTTCCTTCAAGAACACTGTATTATTTCTGTTGTTATCTAGACGTAAAATTCAACTTCAGTGTATTATATAAAAGAACCACAAGGGTTGCATTGTGGAGCTTTTGACAAAACCTCTGTTACCATAGATCTAGATCTTTTGAAGAAATGTATAAATGCTTAATAAAATTATATCAAAAGAACTGGAGGGTAGCACTGACCTTTTTCACATATCCCAAGTCCTGATGAATATGTTTATTTACTTGTTTGTCATATTTAAAACTGCCTTTCTCCTTCTCTTTTACAAAGGGACTCTGAATGGTGTGCAATAAAATATCAAAAGCATAAAAAACAGTATATAAAATTTAAAATTTAAAAGAGGCAAGAGAAGCTAAGAATTAAAAGGTGGAGAGAGAGCTTTCAGGGCATCAACCAACCCCAAAGCTTCGTGCCCATCTGTGCATCCCAAGCAAGGGGACAGAACCATGTTTTTATGATTTTACAGAAAGCCAGGAGAATAGGGACCCACCTCACCTCTGGGGGGAGCATGCTCCATAGGGGAGAAGCAATGGCAGAAAAGACTCTCTTTCTGGACTCCACCAGTTGGAATTCTTTAACTGATAGGGTCCACAATATACCTTCCTTCCCTGACAGGATGAAGACAGTTTCGTAGTTAACCTGACCGCATGCACATGTAGGGCTTTAAAAGTCATAACCAACACCTTGGACCTGGAAGCAAACTAGCATCCAATGCAGATCACACAGCAGAGGTGTCATATGTGTCACTTTCTGAGCACCCAATATTGCTTGTGTGGCTACATTTTACACCATCTGAAGCTTCCAGATATTTTTCAAGGGTAACCTCATACAAAGTGCATTGAATAATTCAAACGGGAGATGACCAGGGCACAAATGACTGAGTGGAGAGTCTCCCTATCCAGTAATGGGCATAACTGGTGTACAACATGAAGTATTGGACCATAAAGTCAGTGTCATGCCTCAACATGAAATCATTCTATTTAGCCTTCCCACCACCCTCATCTATATAACATGTTAATATAGCCCAAATCCAAGATGAGCTACAATCTTATTTGTCAAAAGATGGTCTGCACTCTGCAATTCCCTGGCACTGATTTCCAGGGTGGGTATTTCAGTGGGTTTAATGAATAGTGTATCGTTCATCAACAGAGAATGGAGGCTATAAAATTTAGGGAATGGAATATTAGGTCAGAATCTGTGGAAGTAATTCAACAGGAAGCCAAAGATCCTAAGGTGAAGAAGAACAAACCCAGCAACTAGTTATGATAATGGATTTAATCTGATTCCTAACAGAAGGACTGCAGTACCAAGAATACCAGGTAGCTCTCCCCTCCAAAAAAAGCATCTTGGTATCACAATTCTGTTCCCTCAATTAATTTGAGAAGGCAAGAGATTGACATTTTTTGCCCCCTTGTTCTAAATACACAATACAAAAGCACTAGTGGAGATCTCTTGCCTACTAGAAACCAGAACTTGGCAGTTGCAAGAAAATAACAGCTGCTTGGGTGCTGCTAAGCAACAGCTTCAGCTTGTCTCCAGCAGCAGCAAAGAAAACAAGGCCTGACTTATCAACTGAAGGATGCTGGCAAAATGGCCTAGAGACATTGACTACAGTTTGATGGCAACCATCCTTATTTCTCCGGAGCATACTGTTTGTAATGACAACACAACATTGAGGACATGAAGAGAGAAAAGGACTACTTCCCATTCTCTCACCTCTAAGAAAAGATCTTTAGTGAATCTGATATGGCCTGCCAGAGTAAGTGGGATCAGAGCCGTGCTGCTAATTTGTGAACAAGGAGCTCACTAGTCAGCAAGTAGGGTGGAAGAAAAGACAAAATGTCCTTACTTGGTAGCCAAGAAAAACTATAACAGTTTGTTTCTCTAGCTTTCTCTTTGGGGGCCATTTATTTTGACAAGTTAGTTGAGAGAGGCAAGAGGGATTAATGTTGCAAGGTTCATTCCAACATTCTTCCACCCCGCATTGCTTACATGGAATCAAGCTGAAGCCTTTCCAATACTGGATCTATGACAACTTGCTGCCACCACCTGGCCACCCACCACCACCTGGCTGCAGACACCTCAGCCCATCCAGCTCACCACAGGGACAACTCATTGTCCTTCTGCTCTGGTTTCCAAAGCTGGGCCCAGCTTAAAGGAAGTGAAATTTCCCACCAGCCCACTTTCTCTGAAGGCTTCTTGCCTCTCTTTGCAGCAGCCCCCTGTGAAAAGCAGGTTAAGTGGGAGTCATTGACCCATGCACGGGTGCGCGTACACACACACACACACATTCCAAGCTTGAGCTTGGGAAGAAGGACCTCTCCTTTAGCATACTGCAATGGACCCTGACAGCTCCCAGGCGGGGAGAGAGGCAAGCAAGGACAGTGACAGGGTGACTCACTCTCAATGACTGTCACCACAAAGGCTCTTCCCATTGAAGGGTTCAGCCTGGGACAATGAGTCTCGTATAGCCCTCCTGCACTCCTTCTCTGCAGACATCCTTGCCTCACTTTCCAGTACCCTCCCCTCTGAAAGGTGGACTAAGCAGGAGTTATTGTTCTGGGCTCAGTCACCTTGTCACCATCCCTCCTTGCCCCTTTCCTTGCCATGGTCCAGCGCAGCACACTGAAGGAGAGGTCCTTCTCCCCAAGCCCAGGTGTGATTGGCAGTGTGACAGCTTGAATGCAGATAAAAATCCCCAAGCTCAGAATAGTCTGTGTGTCTCTGTGTGTGCAAAACAATAACTCCAGTTTAGCCTCCCTTTCATGGGGAGGGGAATGCTGGAAAGTGAGGCAAGGAAGCCTTCAGAGAAAGAGTATGGGCTGGCAGGAACTTTCGCTTTGGAAACCAGAGTGGAAGGTCCAGGCTCGTGTTGAGTTGTCCCTGCAGCAAGTTGGCCGAGGCAAGGGATCCCATAGCCAGGTGGCAGCAACCAAGTGGCGGCAGCAGATTGTCCAGTCGTGCCTTCATTTCTTTGCTCCTATAAATGCAATTAAGCAACTGCAAGTGAAGCCTTCCTTGATGTTCTCCTTTACATTATCTCACCTGCCATGATCACAAGGTTACATTTTATCATGCTATATTTTTAACTGGGAGCTCTCATAATCTCCCAAAGTAAACAAGGTCCTGTCCTCAGCCAGTTCTTGATTAAGGTTTAAACAGAGCTTGACACTGATGCAAGTTTCTGGTTAAGTGAAAGGCTTCTGAGGTGTTTAATTTGGATCCTGGTGTCAGCTGGGTCATTCTGGTGAGCTATTGAAGGTGCAGGTAGTTGGGTTTACACATTAAACTAAGCCATAATGTGGTTGTTTGATTCTGGCTTAGTATATAGTGCAATCCTAAAATATAAAGAGGAACATGTGTACATCTGATTCCCTGTAGAGATAAAAATTGTAGTTTTACTGGTTGCTTTGGCAGTTGAATAGAATAGAATAGAGCTGGAAGGAATCGTGGAGGTCTTTTAGTCCAGCCCCCTGCTCAAGCAGGAGAACCTATACTGTCTCAGATAGGTGAATGTCCAGTCCCCTCTTAAAAATCTCCAGTGACGGAGTGCCCATGATTTCTGGGGGTAAGCTGTTCCACTGGTTGATTGTTCTCACTGTCAGGAAGTTTCTCCTCAATTCCAGGTTATTTCTCTCTTTGACCAGTTTCCAACCATTGTTTCTTGTCCTTCCATCTGATGCTTTGGTGAACAACCTGGCCCCCTCTGCCTTGTGGCAGCCCCTCAGATACAGGAACACTGCTATCATGTCTTCCCTATTTCTTCTTTTCTTTAGACTAGCCAAACCCAAGTCCCATAGCCGTTCTTGTATGTTTTAGTCTCCAGGCCCCTGATCATCTTAGTAGCATTTCTCTGAATTTTTTCCAAGCTCTCAACATCTTTTTTGTGATATGGTGACCAAAATTGACTGCAGTATTCCAGGTGTGGTTTTACTAGGGCTTTATAAAGCGGTAATATTACGTCACGTGATCTTGATTCTATGCCTCTGTTTATACAATCCAGGACTGCATTAGCTTTTTTGGTTGCTGCTGCACACTGCTGGCTCATAGTCAAGTGATTGTCCACCAGGACTCCAAGATCCCTCTCACAGTTTTTCCTGCCTAAATGTAAAACTTTGCTTTTCTCCATACTGAAACTCATTTTGTTGGATAGGGCCCATTGTTCAAGTTGGTCAAGATCTTTTTGGATCCCGAGTCTGTCTTCTGGGATGTTGGCTACTCCTGACAGTTTGGTGTCATTTGCGAATTTGATGAGTTCCCCTTCAATTCTCTCATCTAAGTCATTGATGAAGATGTTGAAGAGTACTGGGCCTAAGATGGAACCTTGCGGTATCCCACTGCTTACTTCTC